AAAAGAAAAAAACGGTGGGAACACAAAACAGAAGAGAATAAAATGTCACTGATGATGATGATGACAATGACCAGACTAGGGTTGTATTATCTTATCTTTATTCTTTTGAGTTTTTATTTATTGCAATCATGTTTCATTTGAAAGAAAACAGAAATTCATTCTGTAACATGATATAAGTAAAAATGTGTAGATATACTTACATGTATATTGCTTTTTACACATTGTAAAAGGGCTTCCAGAACCATTTATCATGCTCAGTGTTACATTAGACACAAAGAGTAGGTGGTGGTAGGTTGGAGGATTGGTTTAGATGGCAGTTCTGATCCAATCTCGCAATGACCATCCATCATAGCTTCCTGTGATGCCGTGTTTAACGTCTGCCAATATCTTATTAGAAATGTGCTAGATCGTAAAAATGGAAACTCCTAGGTATTTAAAGGAGCTCACTATGTCATCGCTTGAGACAAGAGTCTACATGAGATACTGTAAGAAGAAGCAACTTGGTTTGAAACTCTGAAGGCTATGATAAATCACTATAAGAAGTAATAGGGAGCTTTACAGAGGCTCTAAAAATATATTGGGTTTTCAAAACAAAAACAATAAAAGATAATAATTATTTCGTTATATGTATTATTGCTGAATTTGCTGAAACCCAAGGTCTCTTTATATAAGAGTATAAAGAAACAAAGGCTAAAGGTTGAAGACTTTTTTAGGAGGTGAGTTTTGGCAAGCTTGTAGTCGTTGTACAGTCCATTTGAAAACTTTAAGTAGGATCCATGAGATTCATATTCCGTTTGCCTACAAAGTTCAAATCATTTGCTATTATCCGCTGTTTGACTAAGATGCTTAAACACTAGCAATCTAGGAGACCAGGCAGCTGGACTGCAGTCCTGGCGCACAAAATGACTTTCCATTAATAGGTTGGGGAGCATCAAGAGAGCCCACCCTGAGCAGAGATTTCCACATGGATATGGCCTATAGCACAAGGGTACCTGCCCCCAGCCATCTGCACTGATTTGACAAATGATTCTATATCAAAGGCCTCTGCACTGATTTGGGTCGTAATTGATTGGAGGCGAGGCCCTCAAATCCCTGATTGGTTTAGCTGGATGTGGGGAGGGAGATATGTGGCGAGTGAGAGGAAAGGACAGCCAGCATGTGAGAGAGTACAGTGCAGGGGATCTGGGAAATATACTAACAGAAGTGAGCCTCATTTGCACTTTGAGAGAATTCCGAATGAAATTTGTGTGGTACGCAATTTCGTCAAACAATATGCATGGTACATTTTTTACAGAGCAACCCATGTTGTCTCTGTGTTTGTGTTTCTTTTTCCAATGTGACTGTGGGGATATCCAATTTGTTACTGTGTCCATAAAGATCGGATTTCACCATACAAAAAGAAGAATTTGGTTAGAAATGGAACATTATTGATTTGTTCCACACGGAGGTGTGGTCTGATGCAGATATATGAGAATTGTAAGTTGGCTGAAAGGAAAGCATCGATTATATATTTCTTCATCATTTTACCCTGAATATTTGATACCATTAACCGCGGTTACGGAAATTATGTGACAAGTGAAATATCATCAAAGAGGATAGCCATTGTTCACTTATCCTCCTGAAAGTTACCTAAACCTCATTACCTCTTAAGGGGTTTATTGGGTTTTCAATTCTTTTTTTTTCTTTTTTTTCAGTTAGATTTCCAAAGAACATATGCCAGGTATGATCTCGAAAAGTGTATTTATTTAATAATATTGTAGATAATTTTCCATTCTGTCATTTATACTATGGTGCGTAGAAGATGTCCTGCAGATGAGCCAGGATACTGTGGAGCCCTCTTAATACAATTGTGACTGTGATGTTATGTATATAGAGGCCTACTCCCTTCGTTACATGGCAGGCTGGCTGTACCACATACCTTTTGCCATTTGACACAGACATGCGGTGCTTGCTAGTGACAGATGCTGCACAGCACTGGTCCCAGAGGTCACAGATGACCTTTTGGATTGTCTTTTTTTCAGTCACAAAGCATTATTTATTTGACGATGGCCACCAATGCGACCCCGGGCACCTTGATGGAGCCGTGGGTTGTTGCTGCTTGTCTTCTGAGATTACATTTACCTCAAATGAATTGGGGTTGAGTGACTGACTGTGTTTGGCCGTGCACTTGCATGTGCGAGGATGTGGACGTACATGTTTAGGAAGATACATTACTTATCCATAGTCTGCTTGACGCAAATAACAAAGCTTAATTGCTGCACGACAGGCCTTTTGTTCGGACGCCTGAGGGATTTCCTTTTATTATACAGAGTGAATCACCATTGAAATGTGTTTATTCGCTGGCCTTTCCTTGGCTTTAAAAAGCTCCTGCACACTGTATGTCTTAAGAATTTTATCTGTAACACTCAGCGCATTTACATTCATGTCTTTGTCGAACTTCACAGAATAAAGTCTAACCCTTCAAGAAGCAAGGTGTTTCTCTAGCATGCTCATCGCTCAACTTTTACATTGTTAGGTGACATTTCACAAGAGAGTTTGTCTTTTGTGGAAATAAAAACTGTGAAACGCGAGGAAAACAAAACTGTGAAATGGCATCCCGGAGTCACACGGCTTTAGTTTACCGTAGCTATTTCAGAGTTGGCAAGAACAAGGTGCAGTGCAGGCCCCATATTGTCAGAGGTGCTTGATCCCCACCCCCATCCCTTGTCCTCTCCATCTGTCACCTATTTAAATTGTGGTGTTCACAAAGACATACACATACTTTGGCATGCTTACACACACATTATTATACACAGCCACCTCAGATACCAAGAACCGTATTATAATGAACTACTTGTATGTTATAGCTTGTCAGACGCACATGACTTTATGTACAGAACCAAGCATGTGCATCCCTATTCACATTTTATTACTACCCTGTTGTGCTATAATGAGAAGTTGTTATTCACGCTGTCGATTCACAGGAAAACCTTGTGAAAACCCTTGTGAAACAATTTTCTACAGCCCGAAGCCTCATGTCAGAAATATGATCTTACCCTCACCTCTTACCCCGACTGCCGTAGTGTGATGATGCTCTGAGGTGAGCCCACACATCAATTATTCACATAATGCAAAATTATTCACATAATGCAAAATTTTTACTCTTTATCTTCTCGCCAGCTGGGGGAGACAATTTAAGAAAATAAGAAGAGAAAATAAATGATGAGCAGAGGGAAAACGCAGCAAGACACTTGCTGGGTGAATAAGAGAGTTTGCGGTGGACAGACAATGCTCTTGATGTGAGTTATAATTGTAGTTTAACAATGTGTGGACCTCTGGGATATTCACTATGCAATATATGGCCTTTAGACTAGAATCACTATGGAAACCAAAGGCCCTGAATGACCTGCAGTGCCCACCCACTTGGACAGCCGTTAATCATCTTCGCTCAGATCCTGGCACTGCAGAATTTGGCCAATGTGTCAAGAAGCAATTATATATACTTAGTGCTCGGGCACCCGATCTCCTCCCTCTCCTCCCTCTCCTCGCTCTCTCACTCTCACATTCTTAATATAATCACAGAGTAGTCAGTTTAAAAGCCCTCTGTTCATTTCGCTATCTATCTGGGGGATGCACACAATGCAGATGAAGAGAAGTTTAAAAAGCCAGTGGATATTCTATTCTGAGAGCCATTATAATCAGAATATTCTTTACATATAAATCATATCCAGCCATTTACTCATTTTACCAGCCTCCTGAACTGACTGACATACTAAATTACCCCAGCTGGCCCAATGCATTCGCTGCACATATTGGGCTGGTGTGGATCATGGAGACTAATGTGAGCTGACTAGAGGGAGATTATGTTCAGCTGCTAACAGCTAAAACGTGAATAACACTATCCGCAAACCCACAGTGTTCCCCCATTACATCAGCCCTGATCAGCTGGGTAAAAATGGAAAGAGTGAAAGAGAGAGAAGTATGGGGTCCAGAGGAAACAAGACGTAGATATAGTATGCGGAGCAATCCAAAGTGATGTCTTCTTACATTAAAACATCTGTAACACCCCGTTAAAGCTACGGCACGCTGTAATTTCTCACCAAAAGCAACCCAAATTTGAAAAGTTCAGGCCTTACATGGATGTGTGTTGTTATTCTGCAATGATAGATATGCAGTTAATTTACTTTTTCCAGTGATTTTCCAGTGACAGAGCAGAGAAACGGGTATCATATTTTGTTATTATTTACTGTCCGACCACTGTCTGCATATTTTAATGCCACGAAAGTCATTTCAGACTGCTAGCTGTGCATTAGGGATGTAGAGCGGTGTTAGGCTTTGAACAGTTGATGACAGCCTGTCAGACAGCTTCCATCTATTGGGCTCCTTTTACCAAGGTCCACTCTTGCAATAAGCCACTCTCAGCCATAACGCCCATTCATCCAGAAAAGGACACAGGCATTTTTGACACGTTTGGTGCTAAGTGAACTGAAATTGCGCGAATTTCACTGCATGGCACATTATCACATTTGCAAGAGTCACGCATCAGGAGTAGAGGTTGAAGGGAAGAGTGACTTCAGTCAGTGTGTGGTGACGACTTGAGACCATCACAGTGAAGTGATGACTTTGACTGTGCATGTACAAGACTAATTAGCATTGAATAAATTTGCCCTTCTCGCTTCATGTTAAATAAATCCCGAACGATTAGCAGAACGCACAGAGGAAGAACAGAAAACAGATGAAACCGTTGTCTTGGAAATGAAAATAATTTCTTTAAGAACCCATGATAAACAAATTCATTTTGCACACCATTTGGCAAAGAGTCTTGCAATGATATGGTGAATGGAACATCAGATATGTGAGAAGATGAAAAGGGTCTTGACATATTATGCAGTTAATTTACAAATGCAAAATGCAAATAGACACAGAAACACAGCTTAATAAGAACATCGCATCCTTAAAATATCTGTAATTATTTCACATAATGCTGTTTATTCCTTGCCTGAAAGCAAACTGGAGCTTACCTTATGAGGACAAATGGGAGGCGGTGAGTTAAAAGACTTCTCTGGTGTCTGGCTCTGGTTCTAGTAGAAAAAAAAAACATTATCAGGGACATGTTTCATTGGAGGCATATCCTTGCCAAAAGTTTCATCTTATTTACTATTCCTTGCTATTAGTATTTTTGCTGCGTTTTTAAGTGGGGGTTAACTCCCACTCTTTACTACCCACTAAGCCAAGATCACAACGTTTGTCAAGCGTCACATTTTAAATCTCTATCTTGACAGCGTCGTCTTATCTGACATAACGTGAGCGGAGTGATTTTTTTTTTTTTTTGGTATTTGTTTTTGTGTTTTCCCTTATTTCTATCCCTGCTCAAAGATTATAAATCCTTCTTTGTCAGAAGATTTCGCTGAACATATGTTCGGGTTTTTCGTACATGCCCGACTGCATTTTTTGAGGTTAAATGATTATCACATTGTTAATACACCAATACATCACTCAGATACAAGAAAACACCATTAAAAGCAGACACAAGGTAAGTCAACAAGCCAACAACAGATGGTCCCGCTGCTTGTGATTATGCAAAGATCCAAAGTATTTGCATACTCACAATGCCATCATTAAAAAAAGAAAAAGAAAAAACAATAAGCCATCTTGAGCTGACCTCAGTGAGAAATGAAAAAAAAAAGAGCAATGGGTGACACAGAACCAGCAGGGAAGCGGAGGGGCTCGGAAAACTTCTTTTGGAATCTACCGAGGGCTTGCCTCGTGGGAAGGCACTGTTGATTTTCAAGCAGGTGCTTTCAGTTATGTCCTCATTTCCAATTATGTGCCTGTGGTACGTCTGATGCTCTGTGACACTATTAATGGCTGCCTTATGGTTTCTCAGATGGACAGATGAGACGCTCGACTCTCCAGACTCTTAACATCTATATTTCATCGCAACGTAGAAGGAGAACACCTCTCTGGACAAGGCAACTAAGAGAGGGGAGAAAAAAAATCAGCCAGGCATTCACTGTAGCGTAAACACCAGGACATGAAATATAAATGAATAAATGGGCCTTGCTGGGACGATGGAATTAGTAGACAAAATTTTCCCTACAGATTGAGTAGGCAATATAACCATGATATCTTAATTGATGTGACAAATAAACATGAATTATTTTCTTTGTGGGTAGGAGCAGGAAATGGAGTTTGCTTCTGCGTGTTCCCAGTGGGGGAAAATGAATGACCTTGATTCTGAACACTGCCTCCAAAATTGTGAATCTACAGGATATTGTAGAGTTAGGAGGAGAGTGACAAAAAAGAAAAAGGAAAAAAAGAGAGTCCAATCAATTATAATGTGAACCGCGGTGTTTGCAATGTACAGATAACTCGGCACTCCATCAATACTGGCGGTTAATCAAGGCATGACTTGCAAAAACTTCACACAAAGCATTCAGGAAAATATTCCCTTTACCACTTCTAGTTATTCTACTGTCGTATGTGAAAGTAACAGGGAAAAAACAAACATTTGTGTTATTTCTGTGTTACCAGTTTATAAAATCAGATGCCAAATATGCTAAAACTATTGAACACACAATGTAATGTTTATGCAAAAGCATTTAGTTATTTATTTGTTTTGTTTTGTTGAATTTGTACAAAACAATATGTGATCCAAATTAACAACTACTTTCATTTGGAAGCACAAATACTGTTAAAGAAGAGACATTATCAAATGCAAAAAAGGATGACAGTAAAGCTAACCACCACTTTTCACTCATGCCATTTCTTATAAATTCCTAGTTTAACTTGGTCGTTAAATCTAATTAATAATCGTTAGTGTTTCATCAGCGTGGAAACTGTACAGCTTTTCTGACAAACAGCTCATAGCTCATCTCCGCACAGTAACAGGAGAGACAGTAGAGTAGAGAGGTGATAAGGGAAAACATATGGAAGTAAAAACGACTGTCATTTTTCAACTCACCTTTGTCTGGGACATTTTACATCTGATAATGAAGACTATTGACAATGGTTGCAACAGAGGGATTTGGATTACGCCACATATTGATGTTTTTGGTCTTTTCACCATGCATGGGCTGGTTATTGTAATAGGATGAGGCCCAGAGAGCACATGTTATACATATATATATATTACAGTTTCTGAAGAAAATACAAGACAATTTTATCTTTCTGATTTCTTGGAAATGTTTTGATAAAATCTAAGAATGAGCTCTATTTCTATCTCGCCGTCTTTACTCTCATCGTATAAATTAGGAGCCTCACTCAGCAGCTCACAAACTGTGTAAGTCTTAATTGTGTACTTTAATAAATGTCACACAGTTTTCCCGCTAAAAGTCTGCATAAAAGACAAATGAAAACAAAAATATGCAAAATATTTAAACTTGTTATTTAAAAGGTTTTTTTTGTTTTTGCTATAAATATATGCTCTTTTGTTAAATTTCACTTTACCAACATGTGCGTAAAAAGCTGCATGGGACAGAGAGTTGTTCTATCGTTCTTGAAAAATTAGACTGACTGCCTTCTGAAAGTCACTGGAGTATTTCTTTTAAAGATATTCCATGTGGGAATCTGCCAAAAAATGTACATTGTGTGCTACTCCTTTCACAGAGGAGTTATAGGTTATAGTAATGACAGTGCCAGCTGAGGACCTGTGAGTTGTGAGCTTCTCTGTTGAAAGTTTCCCACACGGAATCTTAAATGTCTTCAGAACAAGCATACTTTGAAGAGTTTCAGATGAAAGTTTTCTTGTTTTTTACTTTCTCTTTTAAAAAAAAAAACTACAGAACTACAGAAGGTGAATGTTAAAAATGGGCTTTTATGTGCCTGTTAAGATATAATAATAAAAATCTGAAATCTTTTGTCGTAAAAGACTTCATAAAGTCTTTTAGAAAAAAACATTTAAGAGAAGATGTGCATCACTGAACACAAGAAAAGCTTCAGTAAAACTTTTCAGGTGTGAGGTGATCAAAATGTTCCGTCTTCTCTTTGGCTCCGGGATCATGCTCTTGCAAAAAAGAAAAAGAAAGAAAGAAAAACTTGAAGTTTTGATAAACCACTTTCTGACAAAATGGGTAAGTTTTTAAAAATATATATATTTTTTTTATTTATTTTGCATTGTAAGGTATAAAAAACTCCACTCAGCAGACATATACACCTCAACAAGTCAACGTTTCTCAGATTTGAGGTGAGCAACTGAAGCAACTACAGCTTGGCTCAGTGAGATGACGAGCCGCCTTGAGACCAGGAGGGCCAGGTTCAAATCCTGCTCGTGGTAACATTTCATTCGGGCAGGGATAGATCAGTAGGTAGAGTGGTGGCCCTGTGATTGGAAGGTCGGGGATTCGATTCCCCTGAACAGCTACCCTGAGGTACCCTGAGCAAGGTACCGTCCCTACACACTGCTCCCCGGGCGCTCAATGGCTGCCCACTGCTTCACTGAGTGAATGGGTTAAATGCAGAGCGGAATTTCCCCACGGGGATCAATAAAGTACACTTTCTTTCTTTCTAAGAGTGCAGGATACTGTTGATTGACATATGACCTGGTAGTAAATGCATTATAGGGTTACCTAGGCAACCCCTAAATTAACTTCAAAGTGATATGGATGAGTGAATCGCTCTCTGTGTGGATGTCACTTTGGGTTTTAAAAAAGCTTTTCTACTCTCAGCGTTGCTGCTGTATAACATATAGATTAGAAATAGCCCCCAGATTCTTTCAGGATAGTGTTACAATAGACCCTCTTATAATGTTCCTGGCTTTAACTTTCATCTAGTGGATGAACTGTGTTCAATGACAGTGATTTTCAGAAATGTGTCTGAGCCTGTGCAATGATTTCCACTACAGAGCGACATCTGTTTTAAAGCAGTTGTGCCTGATAACTCACCGATCACATCTATTCAATATGTGTTTTTTGCCTGATCCTTTGTGCACAGAGTTGTCTAATTCTTTGGACGCCTTTACTTTAAGTCCTGAACAAAATCTCAAATTTCTTTACAATGTTTTGTGGACAAGTGTTTTTTGCAAGTTGTGAAAACCTACAGGCTCTATAGGGATGGTGCTGCTTTTACACCCAACATGAAATATTGCAGTTCAACAATTACATAGTTTTTTTTTTAAAGTGTAATATATCATATGTAAATTCACAATGAATTAAAATAAATAAATAATAAACACAATTTGGTATGTTGTTGTTCTGCCATTTGATTATATAGCGTATTTTTGTAAACCATCCAATTTTTTAAACATATATATATATATATATATATATATATATATATGTATATATGTATAAAAGAATCTTCAGGAAAATGAACTAGCCAGAAACTCAACTTGACTGGGAGAAGTCGTAGCCCAAACCCTGTGTAGCTTGCACTCTGTTTCTGTGTGGCAGATGTAGTATAAGGCAGTCTAGTCACATTCACCGAGCCAACTTCCCCAACAAGTATAGTGAAAAAAAACAAGAGCACTATTCAGTGCTGAGTGGACACTGACTTGTGGCACATTTGTGTTTCTAGTCCCATCAACTCAGCCTCCATTTTCTCCCCACACAAGGAGGCTTTATACTATTTTCTTCCCCAGCTCCCACAAAAGTACTGTGCCACATTTAGTAAACTGTATTTCTACCAGCTAGTTACTGCTTCTTCAGCTCTGTTTGTCACCCCAACATTGTTTCAACCCTCCTCCCCCAATAAAATATAGTTCTCTCGCTAGGATTAAAGGAGCATTGTAGTTCAAGGATTATCAAATGCCTTTGATCATGTGACTGCCATGTTTTTGATCTGCGGCACATAGCACCAAATATATTCTCTTTTTCTTGCCTTCTGTCTCTTTGCCTCTCCACGGATTTCCCGTTGCTTGCCGGTTCTCTGCAAAGTGAGAATAGCTCTTGACAGGCAGTGAAAGGAGAAAATGTAACAAGTATAAAACACATATTTGTAATATTGTGATGACAGAGATCATGCTTCCACTGCTTATCAGTCCACAGAAACATATGCCATAAAGATGTCCAGTGCTGAAGTTAACACTTGAAACTATGACACGTTGGAATATATATCTCGTTTTAGGGAGTCATCTGTGGTTTTC